CCCGGGTCCCGGGCCGCGGGGGGGGCGCGTGCCCGCCAGCCACATCGCCCCGCTCGGCTTCTCCGCCGCCTCCGCTCGGCTCTGGGCGTATCTCGGAGGCGGCGTTTCCGATGCTTTGCAACCCGGGATTTTCCCACCCTTGCTGCCGTGCTGGCTACTGGGTCAGTTTGGCATCCTGGTGTTATTTTTGTTCCCTGAGACCAGAGGAAAAGCAGAGAGGCTGGATAAAGTCCTGCCTGGCTGAAAGAAGGCCTGTAGCTTATTAAGAGCAATGAAGGCAGAGTCCAAAAATAGCCCATGTCTCACGCAGGCAGCTTGTCCCTGCCCAGCAGAGCAGACGATTAGAGGCTAACGTGTGTTTAGGGAAACTTGTTGGGTTGCACAGAAACTTGCTCCCTGCTGCAGGGGTTTGTCTGAGCACAGGGGATTTTTTTTTTCTGCTTGAAATGAGCCTTATATAATTGCATTTGCCTTAGCTCCTTCCTCATTGCTAGCTCATGTTTTACCCTCCTGGCTGACGGTGGGAGAAAGTGTCGAAGCAGGCAGGAATCGTTTGAGCTCCCTGATATTGCACAGCAATGTGTTGCTGTGTGCACCCTGCCATCTAAGAGAGGTTTTGCATAAGTGGAGATGTTATTAGGCACCTGGGTGTTATTTGTGACCGATGATCATGCAGGGCTCAGCAAGAGGAGGGCAAGGGAACACAGCTGGACGCAGGGATTAGGAATGGGAAGCAGCAGAGGTTTTTCATGGTTACCTGTGTTGGCAGTGGAGCTGATAAAATCCTGCAGGTTGTTTCAGCAACCACAGAAATACCCTCGTGTCGGTAATGCCAACCAGGGGAAGAGGCACCAAACTTTGGTGCCCTTTCCAGGGACAGTGTGCCCTGGTATAAAGGATAAAACTCCTGATCTCAGCCCGCAGAGGGGGAATTGAATGAGCCTGCATGAGTAGAGCAAGAGGATTCAGGCTCTGATTCAGCAGATACAGAACAACAAAAAGATACATCCATCTCCTCTCTAAGTGTGATGCTTCCCCTGCATATAAGAGCTGCTGGGGTGCGAGGTGCTCGTATTGGGCCTCTGTCGATGCCTTTGGTGGTGAGCAGGCGCCTCTCTGGTTTTTGTCTCCCTCCAGAACTTTGAGGTGGAGGCTGATGACCTGGTGACTATTTCGGAGCTGGGCCGCGGGGCCTACGGCGTGGTGGAGAAGGTCCGGCATGCCCAGAGCGGCACCATCATGGCCGTGAAGGTGAGGAGCAGGGCAGGGAATGGGCTCAGGCGGCTCCAGGGGGGCTCAGCTGGACTCTGCTGGTCACAGCGGAATGGGGACATGGAGCTGAAGGAGTCTTGGCAGCCTCCAATGTCCCTGGGCAGCCTCACGCTGCCGCGCGGGTGCGAGCAGCCCCGGCGCTGGTGTCGGCTGGGCCCTGCAGCTCTCCATAAGCAGGCGCTGAAATCCAGGCTCCGTGCCCGTGCCTGGTTAGTTGGGATGTGAGAGTGCCCCTTGAGGCTGCTGGATGGATCCCCTGTCTGTGGAGGGGTTTGCCAAGGTTTTTGTAATTCCTTAGGGTCGCATTGGAAAGAGCAGATCTGGGCATGTTCTCAGAGGGCCACTGTCAGCAAAATCAGCGCAAATGCTTGTCCTGGGCTCAGGCTGCAGGTCCTTTGAATCAGAGCGAGGCAGTCTCCCTCCTTAGATTATGGTGTTATTTCACATATGTCAAAAAACGTCTTTTTTTTTCTTTCTTTTCCCCAATTTTTTTGGTCCCAGAGGATTCGAGCGACAGTGAACACCCAGGAGCAGAAGAGGTTGTTGATGGACTTGGACATCTCCATGAGGACAGTTGACTGCTTCTACACTGTCACGTTTTACGGAGCCCTCTTCCGAGAGGTACTGTGACAGTGCGAGAGCCTGTGGGCTGCACAGCACCTTGGTGTGTGATAGCTGGGCAGCTCTATCCATGTCTGCCCAGTGCAGTGCCTCTGTGGCACCCTGTCCAGTGCAGTGGCTGCACAATGGGGACATCAGGTTGTCCTGTGTGGAAGGGGCAGTGTCTGTCCATGCCAATTCCTTCAGCTCCCAGGTTTCTGATGAATCCCCTCTTCCCTCATCAATGACTTTCTTCTGTCTGCAGGGCGATGTGTGGATCTGCATGGAGCTCATGGACACCTCCTTAGATAAATTCTATAAGAAAGTGCTAGAGAAGAAGAAAACCATCCCTGAAGACATCTTGGGGAAAATGGCCGTGTCCGTGAGTACCTCTCGGGTTCATATGTCATTTAGTCTGTCCCCTGAGCATCGTGGTGATTCATTACACACCTCGTGTGTAGCTTGATGCCATAAGGCTACATTTTGTTTTCAAACTGGGGTTTTCTGCCTGCAGCCCTTTGGAGCCCTTCTGTAGGACACAGTATTTGGAAATGAGCAGTATGTTCACAGAGAAAGGTTGGTGCTGGGTGTGACTGACTCTTTTGCTCTTTTTGTCACCAGATTGTGCGAGCGCTGGAGCATCTGCACAGTAAATTGTCTGTGATCCACAGAGGTATGTACTGGATGGGGTTAGCATGATGTGGCTGGAGTTCTAGCCTTAAAGTAGATCATGCAAAGGGTCCTTTCCACAAAATATATGGAGTGTGTGGATGTTCCCTTCATGTGTCTGCTTGCATGATGCTGTTCTTTTCCTCCTTGAAGGAAGGGTTGAACATTATGGCTGAATTCCCCGATGTCTGAATTATTATGGGCCTCTCTGTCTCTCTCTCTGAGTAGAAAGATGAATTGAAGGTGGTTCTTGGGAACAAAATCCCCTATCTTTCCTGTCTGGGTAGTTTTAGTCAGGTGTGGTCTGAAAGAGACCTTGCAAATTCAAGGGTGGGTATCTTAATGCGAAGGTCCTGGTGTAGTTTCTTGTATACCTCTGGACAAATTGTGGTGATTGAGACATGAGCTGTCCCAAAAACTCAATGAGAGTTGAGCATTTAAGGCTGTGTTGGGCACTTAAATCTCTTCTAAGGAGGTGGGCATTAACTCCTCAGCGTCTTATTTCTTATTTGACCTGCTTTGTTAGAGAGGGGGGCCTCTTCTGTCCTGAAGGTCTGATTCTAGTTTTTGGGTGAACAGCCTTTGTTGAAGGAAAGAAATGGTGGGACTTTGCCTCTTTTTCCTTGTGTTAAGGCCCTTCTAATCCTCTAGGTCAGCAGGGAGTATTTTTCTGTAGTAGCTTTGCGGTACCTCAGCAGAAGACTTGATCTCTTCTCTCATCTTCTCTCCCTTAGATGTGAAACCTTCCAATGTGCTAATCAACAAGGAGGGACATGTGAAAATGTGTGACTTTGGAATCAGTGGCTATTTGGTGGACTCTGTGGCAAAGACCATGGATGCTGGCTGCAAACCATACATGGCTGTAAGTGTGTTTGTGTGGGATCTAACTTGACATCCTTCAGCTGCCTTCAGCCTTGGCTTGAAGAGGCTGTCGCTTAGAAATCAGTCCTGTTTCTCCTCTGTACTGAGATAGAAACCACAGCCGCATGCTGTGGGCATCCTGACTCAGCAGAGTCCTCTAAGGACAGGATTACAGTCCCGCTAAGCCCTGCTGTTTGCCTTAATCGTATGGCAGACTCTTCCTTCATCACCTTCCATTTGCAGAAGGGTAAAGGGCTGACTAACTATTGGTGGTGGTTGAAAAGGCTGCCCCCAGTTGGCTAGAAAATGCTGAGGTTTCTCTTGGTAGGATTGTTTTAAAGTTTGCTTCATCCTCCCAAACTGTTTTGAATTTCCCATTGCCGTCCATGGCAGAGCTCCTGGAGATCATGCCACATTGTACAAGTCTTGCTTGGGAGCTGGAGCTGGGAGTTCATGTGGGTTATGTGCAAATGAGCAAAATGTGACCTTTACCAATGCTTGTAGATATAACCCCCACTCTGCCCTCATGGGAATGTCTGTGCCTA